CTCACCCGTTGCTCTGGCAGGCACCATGCTTCTTCAGCATCCTGCAGAAAAAACACAAACATGCCCTTTTCCCCATATTTAATACCTGATTTGGATCATACTTTATGCCAGTAAGTGGATGGATCCTTCCCTTTCACCCATGCATAAGTATACCTAGTTGTAGAGTACCATAGACACTCAGCAGAAAGTTTCATGGCATCCAAATTTTTTTAAAACAAATTTTAAAATAAAAATAACATGATTTAAATAAGTTTGTGATATATCTCCCCTTTTTTATTTTATGAAGATATTGCTTTTTAAGTTCCATGGGCCCCTTCCACAGTCTCTTGTCCTTGACAATAAGGAATCCCAGTAATATGGGTAATGTTAAATTGCTGCCAAAAAGTCTCAAATGTTCGACTACGATAGCCAGTTTCATTATCTGTTTTTTTGTTTGTTTGCTTGCTTGCTTGCTTGCTTGCTTTTCTACATTCCTGGGCATGTTAGAGCCCTTGGGAGTCCAGCCTCCTCTCCTCAGGATGCTTGCTTTCTTACACACCCCAGCACCACTTGCCCAGAGATGGCGCTACTGACAGTGGTCAAAAAAATGGCCCATAAGCTTGCCTACAGGTCAGTCTCATGGAGTTTTCAATGGAGGTTCGTCAAGTTGACTTAGATGACCCTAGCTCTTGTCAAATTGACCTAAAAACTAGCCAGCACATTACTCAAATGTTTACTCTTCCTAAACATAAACACTTCATCAAGTTAGGGTCCTGTCAACAAGTCTTTGTCCTACTTACAACATAAATATTTTGTATAAATCAATGAGACAATGAATGCAAAGTGCTTTCAAAATGATGAAGCAGAGACAAATCAGTCACTTTTATTGTTTGCCCTTAATGACAAATAAATCAAAACTTATTAACATTAATATACCTTTACTACAGTATGTTTTTCCCAATATATTTGTTCCTCAGGCTAAAATCAGAAATCAAGAACAATTTCCTGGGTATTTGTTGTACAGTGGCTAATCTATATTTAGACAAACCTCGAAAGTAAGAACCAACCAAGCTTATGAGCTTTTCATAGAGCTTGTGTTAATCCCCATATGTTGGTAAGAATGTAGTGAATTACTGATGGCTATAACACCTTAGGGCTCATATAAAAGGAAGAGACATTGTATGGGTCCACAGGAGTAGCACAGCAGAGGAAAGCCCAGCAACAGATTAAAAGGTAAACTGTGATCAGTGTGTATATCATATTCCCCTTCTGAATAAAGATTTTCTTCCCCTTGTCTTTTGATTTAAGCTTATCCTGGAAATTAAATTGGCCAGTACATGTAGTAAATATCACATTCAGGAATTTCCAAGCTAGGGTTTTATGAGAAGTCTGTCTCTATTGTTCTCTTGTGAGAATGTCCATGCTGGTGTTACTTCTTTGACTCCAAGCATCACAAAATATGAAGAAATTCAGCCATGAGAACAGGAAGAACTCCAAGTCAGATGCAAGATATGACAGCTGGGTTCCCAGTTGGGAGCCACCATCGACTGTCAACCAGGTGAAAGAACTATCTTGCATGTTTAAAGCCTAAGCTGGCCCGAAAATAATGGGAGTTCCAGCACTGCCACATAAAGAACTAAAGTGACTTCTGTCCACTCAGAGAATTTTAAGAAAAACCATTACTGATGTAAGTAGAGATGGTCTGTTAGCAACAAGAAGGAAAAATTATGTATTGCTGACATAAAGAAAATAAAAACCCGTGTATCTGTTACTTAGAAATACTGTTGTTACACATTGCGTCTCTCTTCCACCATCATCCTTAACTTTTGTACCATAAAAAGAATTTCACTAAATTAAAAAAGGAGGGGCTTCATGGATCTAAAGTAACCCACTGGTCAGAAAGATACAAAGGCAGACAGAGTCCTGAGTCAGCCTGGGACACAATGAGTCCAGGCCCAAGTGTGATAGAAATGGTAATTTCAGGGTCCCACACAGCTAGCTAATCATCTGTGCTTAACAGAGGCAGGCAAATCTCTGAATTCTTTTGCAATATTAAAAGACAAAATAAATAAATGTGCTTGCTGACTCCTAAGAATTAAGGGGCTGGGATCACCAGATGCTGATTCTTAGGATGGATAATCAAAAGGGAACATGGAATAAACACGTAAATAAAAAGCTGACCTTTTGGTCTGCATGAGGTGAGCTATTTCTCTGAGAGCTGAGCTCTCTAGAGATCTCTGGAGAGCAAAAACAGCTCTTCAAGTATTTTCTTTCAAGTATTTCTGACTTGGTCAGAAGATCCAATAATTTTTTAAAGCAGTTTTTCTGACTTCTGTCAGAAAACACATGATCTATCCAGACAGCTTTCAGATTTTTAACTAGCAGAAAGAACTATTTCAACCAAAGAGTTTTTAGAATAG